CCAAAGCGAAAACTCCAAGTTAACAATCTCCAATCAGCCACAGTAAGAGACAGTAACAAACGTGGATCATCATCATGGCTAGGCTTCGCGAATGAAGATTTGGGAAGGCTCTATCCACATTTGTTACAGGCACGCTGGTGGCTAATGAGGCCAATACGAGACAGACATATCCACTTGCAAAAGGCACAGCAGAAAGACTCCTTAGATGGTGTTTTCAGCAGGATACGATTCTTTCTGCGTTGCCTTTTCTCCTTGAGAGTGATCCTGCGTGCGTTTTCAAAGGAAACGGCAGAGTTGTAGATGGTGTGTCTCCAGGCCTCTCGATTTGAGGCCAGAGTAGACCAGTTAAGATGATCAATATGGCTGAGGTTGAGGTGTTGTTTCAGGGAGTCCTTGTATCTTTTCTTTGGGGCTCCTCTCTTGCGGCAGCCAGTGGCAAGTTCACCATAAAGCAAGATCTTAGGGAGGCGGTGGTCCTTCATCCTTGAGACGTGCCCTGCCCAGCGCAGCTGAGTTCTCAGCAACACGGCCTCAATGCTAGTGACTGCTGCTTGTTCTAGAACAGATGTGTTGGTCACATAGTCTGACCAGCGGATGTTTAGGATTGTACAGAGGCAGCGTTGATGGAAGTGTTCTAGGAGATGCAGGTGGTGGCGGTAGTCGACCCATGATTCGGAACCGTATAAGAGAGTAGACAACACTATGGCTTTGTAAACACATTTTGGAACGTTTAGCTTGTCCCCCTAAATTCCTTAAAATGATCATGTCACTCCATGAGGATCAGCATGGCCAAGTAAGATTTGGCAATGCACTCTCTGAACCCTTTCTAATAAAGAATGGTGTGAAACAAGGCTGAGTTCTCGCTCCTACCCTATTCACACTCTTTTTCAGCATGATGCTCCAAAGGGCCATGGCAGACCTCGATGATCAGGACAGTATCTACATTCGATATCATATTGATGGAAGCCTTTTCAACCTAAGGTGACTGAAGGCCCACACTAAGACCTTAAACCATCTTGTCCGGGAGCTGCTCTATGCTGATGACGCCGCACTTGTTGCCCACACAGAAGCAGCTCTGCAGCATTTAAAACCCTGCTTTGCGGACGCTGCTGAGCTCTTTGGGCTGGAAGTCAGCTTAAAGAAGACGGAAGTTCTCCACCAACCTGCTCCTCAGGAAGTCCTCCATCATCCCCATATCACCATTGGCCAGTCAGAGCTTAAATCTAGCAGTTTACTTACCTAGGTAGCCTCATCTCCTCAGATGGTAAGATTGATGGGGAGATATACAACAGGTTAGCAAAGGCATATAGTGCTTTTGGAAAACTCTATAAAAGAGTATGGCATAATAAACTTTGATAACATATTTAAGAAGGAAAAACAAAAAAGAAAAAAATATTGTGCAGGTATAATTTCGCTCAGAGAACAACAGAGTGAAAATATCTGAGAGGAACAATGCTGCAGACACCAAGATCAGTGAAGGAGGAGGGGAAGGAGGTGCTCCAGGTACCAGAGGTGAAGTTCTCTTGCAGCCCATGGTGCAGCCCATGGTGAGGGAGCTGTGCCCCTGCAGTGCATTTAGGTCAACAGAGACACAGAGATCTGCTTGCATCCTCATGGAGAAGATCATCACTGGAGCAGGTGGATGCCTGAAAGAAGTCTGTGAAAGTCTGGGAAGGATGGGCTGGAACAGGGTCCTGGCAGGGACTTGCAGACCTGTGGAGAGAGCAGCTCACACTGGAGCAGGTTTGCTGGTAGGACTTGTGACCCTATGGTGGACCCACATTGGAGCAGCCTGTTCTTTAAGAACTGCATGCCATGTAAAGGCACCCACCCTGGAGCAGTTCGTGAACTGTAGCCTGTGGGAAGGACTCACAGTGGAGAAATTTGTGGAGCACTGTCTCCCATAGAAGGTACCCTACACTGGAGCAGGAGAAGGACTCCTCTCTGTGAGCAGCAGCAGAAACAAGCTGTGATGAACTGACTGTAACCCCCATTCCCATCTCCTTGTGCTGCTGAGCAGGAGGAGGTAGAGCCTGGAAAGGAAGGAAGGGTGGGGTGAAGCTGTTTTTAAGATTTGTTTTACTTCTCATTATCCTGTTCTGATTTTATTAGTAGTAAATTTAATTAGTATCACCAAGTCAAGTTTGTTTTACTCATGATAGTAATCTGTGATCTCTCCCTGTCCTTATCTCAACCCATGAACGCTTCATTATGTTTTCTCTCCTCTGTCCTCTTCTCTTGTGGAGAGGAGCCATAGAATGGCTTTTGCAAGTAACTGGCATCCAGCCAGGGAACATCCACTATACCAAGGCAATTACACCCTCACAAAACAAAATCCCCACTTGTGACTTCTACCTTGCATTGGATTTCAGAAGGTCCAACTTTCAGTGAAAGATATTAAACCTGAAACTAGCTCCAGATTTAGCTTAAGTCCTTTGTGGGGAGTTAGATATCTCGAAAACATGCACCCAGATTACTTCCTCAGTTCATAATTCAAGGTGATGCCTTTCTTTTGACCTTGCTTTATCTGTGATTTAAAAAGGAGCTTTTCACTGAAACACTGAGTATCAAATATTTTAGTTAAGCATCTGGTTACATTCTTAACAATAAAGAGTATTGAAGCTAGTTCTCAACACAGACATGGGCTAATCACCTTCCCCTCCTTCCCTTTATAAAAATCTAAAGAACAGTAAACATTTGGAAAAATGAAGAACAAAATGAGGAGAAGGAGAGGAAGTGACAAAAGAAATATATTTCATACAATTAACAAAGTTACCCTCCTGAGAGGCTTTTAACTAGCTAAATTTTTCCTCTGTTGAATATCACTTTTATTTTTGACAGAACAGTAATTCTTTTTCAGTTCAAAAGAAAATTGTACTGAACCTCAGTCACCTGAAAATGTTATCTGACTAGAAATTTTAGAAAATAAGTTGCTTTTTCATGTGCATGATCACTCATAACACCTCTAAGCGAAATACTTTTTCAATTCATGTGAACTGTGACAAGCAGAAAAAAACATAAACTACTTATAAGGTTATAAGAATCACAAAGACTAGCCCATTCATGTGAACTTTGATTTAAAGCTGATTTGAATAGAAAGGAAAATTGTAGTTTCAGTGTATTTTACATCATGTAGAAATGCTATTATGTCAAGAAACAAAAGTTGCGGTTCATATCAAATAAACAGTTAACTTTATTTTTAAAAGTTTAATATTCCAGTGAAAGAGAAACAAATCTTTCAATTTTGAAACTAAAAACTTCACATTGAAGCAATTCTGTTATACAAGCTACAGACCTCTTACTTGTATGCCCTGGCATGTATAGATTATCCTTGCAGCAAAACAACAAAATGTGTTGTCTACCATTTAGGTGATACTTCAACTGCTTTCTCTTTATTTTAACAACTACTTGGATGATGGAGAAGAAAAAGTTAAAAATATTCTGTTCTACATGGCTCAAAGATTATTGGAAGTTAAATATTATTTGAAGAAGGCATCTTACCAAAAGCATGAAAAAGATTTCTCAGATTTTTCTGGTTTTCACTTTGCTATACTTCCATGGGGAAACACAAACCAATAGAGGAAATGTCAAAATGTAGGTAATTTTATGAGATTTAAGAATAGCATCAGGTACAGTTTTATTGCGTTCATTGGTGTAAGTTTACCAGGACTTCTGATGAAAGTTTTTCTTTTCAAAGATTCTTGGTTCAGAAAAAACTAGTGGGTTTATAACATACTGTCTTGGGCATGATGCATTAGAGCACCTTCATAGCTTGTAGTAATATTACCTACATATTGAAAGTTTGATTTCTTTTTGATAGCTTGACACTGATACTCCATTTTTATATTATTCTCAGTGTTTCACAGAATTTGTTTCCTGGAGCCGCCAAACGATAAGAGACTAGAATCACTGCATCAGAGCACAAGCTTTTCACACCAAACAGCTAAGATGGCTCAGGCATGTCTTCAAGATTTATTTTCCAATTAAAAATGCACACGAAAGAAGCACAGAAACTCTGCAGGAAATGTTTCACTTTCATAACCCTTTGTCCAATCCCATCCCAATTTAGATTGCTGTGTTGGTTCATGTCTTGAATCTCATCCACAAACTAACACTTAACAGATTTGAACAAGTTTTGTTTGTCATCCTTAAAAAGTTTTTGCTCTGCTTTCTACAGGTTTGTTTTATCTCCCTATCACACTACTCTGTGTATTTCAAGTTCATACCTGGCTCACTGAGACAAATGGTAGAGGTCAGTGACACAGTGGCTGTTGCACATTAGTTCCTTTATTTCTCTCACTGTTCAATCTAGGGTGGCTCAAAGAGAAGCTCACCTCAGCTTTTCAGAAAAAGGGAAATTGCAGTTCATCTGAATTTTTTAATATAACTAGACCCCCTCCTTGCTTTTCATTTTAGTCCATCTTAAAAAGGCACTTACTGTGCAATTTCCAGAAGAAAATAATCATCTTCCCTCATGCCAAATTTATTCTTATTTTTGTGTTATTTTCCATGACAGTATGCTATGATTTTATTGTTATTGGTACCAGCTAATAGAAAGGATTTCTTTTTGTGCATTGTAGATCAATAAGCATGCTGTCAGTTCTAAGTAAGCAAGAAAAAATTACATGAATGTGGGAAAATAAGTCTTCATGGATCTCTGTTCCCTAAACTAAATTCCCCCTTGAGGCAAAGCACTCCTCATCTAAGTGACCGGTAGTTTTTTATTGAACGAGATCCTGTAAAACATCCTGTACAAATAAGGAGCACTTACATCCTCCTTATTTTCTTCAGTGATACACTTATTTATGTTTTATATTTGTCATGACCTAAGTTTCTTTAATCGTTTTTCCAGGTGAGATTCTTTGTGGTATTCTGTGGCTGGATCACTGAAACCTTTTGAGTCAAGGACTGCTCCAGTCCAATCTGGACTCTGAAGGAGTGTTTTTATCCTCATCAGGCTGGATAAATGCAACCAATTTTTTACCTTCTTTTTTTCCATGTACATTTCACAATTTTCTTTTCCCTTCTCAAAGAGAAAGATGTCTGACAGGCCAGCATCTTCTGTTCTTTCTCCTCTTCCTTGTGTGAAAAAGCCTTAATTCCCAGGTGATTCCTGAACTGGACCTATGATTTTTTGACAGACGTACTTTCTGTCCTCAGTACCTGCCAGAGTTGACTGATGTGAAAAAGCTGAGGCTCCTCCAGAAAACCCAAGTTATACATGCATCTTTGTTCTGGTGGGATTCTGAAAGTGTGAGGTCATGTTCTTGTTAATTGCATTTATGGCAATGTGGTCATTACTGAGCAACAATATTACTCAACGAGTCACGTCCACAAATCTCGCTGCAGTGCTTTTGTGTGCTACACCACCATTTGCCATTTCTTGTTCATAGGAGTGATTGGCTACGGATGGATCGTGACCAGACAGGAAAGGCAGGGCAAAATATGTAATTATTGCCCTCATCTTAACCCAGTGCACTGGTTCCTATGGGACAGATAGAGGTAATTGAGATAATTTTCAGGCTGATCTAAGTTATATCAAAAGCTATTTGAAACCACAGACAGTTTGTAACTGAGGGTGTGCCAGGTTGCCTCATCTTTCATTCTAAATTTGCACTTGCTCTAGTTGTGGAGATCAGACACAATTGTTTTGTTTGAAGAAAAGCTGAAATAGGAAGTGCCATTCAAAAGGATGGCTTTGAAAGAACCACAGTGCTGGTGGTAAACCAGCACTACTCAATGAATTAGGAAAAGGGGTTGGAGGCATAAAGCCTACTCCAGGACAGGGATAGACAGACCATTAGCATTTGGATGTCTTTTAAGTCTTCCTTCTTTTCTTCTTCATTTTATCTTGAGCTAACAGCTTGCCAGAGATGTTCATCCCAGAGAGAGTCAAGGGGATTAGATGTTGAAGTGCTCTGTACCAAACTGTCTGGTCCAGGAAAGGAGTGTGAGAAGTTGTCACCAACAGCTCAGACAGTCCTCCAGAAGCTCTACGCATCTTCTCCAATGACTGCTGCCCAGCATCTTCTCCACTGAGAGCACATCATGTGCCTGAAGATGAGAGAAGGATAAGGGCACAAAACCATGAGGTTTTAATAACATAGAGTTTACTAAAGGAGACAAGAGCATAGAAACAGGGAAGAACATGACTGGGCATGATGGAAAAAGAAGGGAGAACCTCCACGGCAGAGGAGTTGGAACTAGGTGATCTTTAAGGTCCCTTCATATCCAAACCATTCTATGATTCTATGATTTTATGATTCTAATAGTGTTGAGTCCTCTAGTGAAGTCAAACAACAGAAAGAAATAAAGCTGCAGAAAAATCAGGAAAGACTGTAAAATCAGCACTTGAATAGGGAACAGAAACACAGTTATTCAACTAATACAAGAAACACAACTTTTGAAGATATGCAGAAGAGGGAAACCACTTGGTATTTGGCCTTTTTAAGTCCATGGCAAAAAGAACAGAAGAATATGAGACTTCAGAGATGAAGGATAGTGTTTGCAGTCTTACAGGAGGAAACTACTAAGGAAAAGAAAGATCAAGAGTCTACATTATATAAAAAACCTATAACTGTAGATGAGAATCCCAACAGAAGTAACACTGTCAGAATTAAAGAGCAGATGCACTACAGAACTGAGAGACACTGTCAAATTGTAAGTCTTGGAAAGGGCACAAGCTAGGGGTGGAGGTCAACAGAGAAAAGGGATTTGGTGTGCAAGATCTTAGAGAAAGATTAGTTCCAAGTAGAGGCGAGGTTGAAAGCACATCGCTGCAGTAATATGTGAGAACTGATGCGCTATTTTAGGACAAATGATAACATAAGGAGTAGGAAATAAGAGGCAGAAAAACGGAAATGCTATATGATTTGACTGTTAAAACTAACAAAGGAGAGATTACAATTAAAGGGTGAGAGAGGGGGTGAATTAGAATCAAAGTCAAGGTACAGTAAAAGACATGTAGTGACACCAGTCACAGCGGAATACAATCAGAACAATTAAAACTCAGTTTTTACAAAATTCTATTGTCTGATTGCTTCTGCAATAAACATTTTAATCAAAGTCATTTATTTATTTTAACTGAAGTTCACAGTATCTTGTTCTTGATTGACAGATAGACAGTTGAGACAACCACATTGTCAGAGCTACTTAGAAGGCAGAGAGATCTTGGAGTGAGAGTGGAGAATGGCTGGCTGTCGACCCAAGCACACTGTCCTGGAACCCTCAATTTTTTTAAAAAATGCCAAACAGGTTACCCTTGTTAAATGAAGATAATTTAAAAATATATGGGTTTGTTTTGAAATTTTAAATATATGTTAATTTTTAACATAGCCTTTAAAATTAGCCTAATTCTAAGATTTTAACCCTATGCTACACTAGGATCTAGTATGAGACGCAGAATAATAGAGAAGTCTAAGTTGAAGAGACCTCTAGTCATCTGGTCCAACCTCCTAGGCTTTCTACTGGGTTATCCAGGGCCTTGTTAAGTCAAGACATGAATATTTCCAGCAAAGTAGATTCTATCACTTCCCTGGGTACACTGTTCCAATATTTAAAAGTTAGTGAAGTTTTTCTTCTATCCAGACAGCATTTCCCTTGAAGCACCTTGTCCCCTTTGCCTCTTGTCTGTCACCTGGAATCACTGTGAAGCAAGAACAGCTTCTATAAAAACTTTTTAGATACAAGATCCTTTGTTCCTCTGAGCAGAACAAATCCAGTTTCTCCAACCTTTCTCCACATGTCAAGTTCCCCAGCACCGTGATCACTTTGTTGCTCCCAAATTGGACCTGCTCCAATTTTCCAGTGCCTCTAAAAACTTTTAAAAATTCTTTTGAATGTGAAAATCTACTGTGAGTTGATGAAGGAGGGATGCCTTTGTATCCTAATCCTACTAATTCTTTTTGATATATCCAGTAGCCATCTGTTTTATCTTCCTTTTTACCATCAACTGTGAATATCCATAACTTCTCCATGTCCTTTCTGAGTCTTTTCTCTTCCACCAGCACAATACACAGAGGTTTCCTGACATAGTAGGTCCCCTCAGTGTTTACTTACATCATCCTACCCCGTTCTTTACTGAGCTTTATTTTGTGTGATGTTCAGGCAAGAGGCAACATGCTGAGTCTAATGGGCAACATGTTGGCTTTCCTATTTCCTAAAGGGTACAAAGCACTTCTTTTTTTGCAGAAGACTGTTTGCTTTAGAAGTTTGGAGAAATACAATGTATTACACTCGAGAGCAGTTTCCTTTCTGAGAAGGTCCTTTATTGGGTAAGCATACAAAGGCTGGTGACCCAAAAGAGTCAGAAAATAAAAGGTTAGAGGTGAAAGTGAAGGAAAATAGGAATAGCAGAATTCTAGGCATAAAGCACCCTTGTGACATACTCGGGCACAGACCCCAAGGAGTGTGGTATAACAGGATCATGGAATCATTTATTACAGTTTTTTCATGATTTGTATACCCCGTTATATCAGCAGTAAATCCTTGTTAGTAACTTTTCTCTATATCTACTTTTTAGCTAAGCATTCACTGTCCATCCAATTAGTTTCCCACCCACAAGCATACATCTCACCACATCTGCATTTTATCTTGCCAAATTCCCCTTCTAGGTTTCTCCCAGGGTCATATAATCTCGGTTTCTTACACACCCTTAAGAGCAACAAAGAGAAATTGTCAGCAATTTTCAGGGACCAAAAGAATAATTCAAGAAACATGATGTCACAGGATATCAATGTCTATGATCTTAATGATACCTATGATTTATTGGTCTTCTTGATAACCTAAAGAATATGCAGAAACCAGGGCAAAAATAAAAACTGGAAAAATGGAAGACGAGGGCTTATCCTAGGGTAACCCTTAGCAAGACTTTTTTATCTTTCATGATTTTCAGAGCTGAGATTTAGAAGTAAAAAAGCTGTACTCTGGATATCTGATTAGACAGAACTGAAATAGGTTTTCTTTGCAGCTTTTGGGCTTCTTGGTTCAACAGAGGCTGTTGCAGCTGAAACTAAGCAAAAAATGTAATGAAAATGCATTCACAGTGCTGTTTCCCAAGACAATTATATGTATTTGTTCACCAGTTTTGGCAAAATTTTAATCCGATATGTAATCTAGGTTCATCACAAGGTTAACAACCCACAGAGGAAACAAGTAGTGATCTGGAACTGGATAATAAAACAGACTAAGTTGGAAATGTGCAATTGCATAGACCTGGAATGAGAAAATTTAATTTAAGATAGAAAGAACTGAACTATACAAAGTTCCTTCTTTCTTATAAATGTGTGCCCTTACAAGGAGAATTACACCACTTTAGTAGGCACATCAGTTCAGAGATCTTCAATGCACAGAGAGTATGACACTGCTACATAACACTATGATCTTATGAAAGTTGACTAAAGGCTGCTGAAATTGGCCAAGTGCATATGCTGTCATCAAACTCTAAAAGACAATGAGCTGGAGTTCTGCTCCAAAGCCAAAGAGGAACTGAGATATGGACCTCTGATGTCCTTGAGCTCAGAAGAAGAGAGTTTCCAAGAGTGTCAAAAAAGGCAATGAAAGAGTCAAGGTGTCTGCCCAGGGAACTAGAATGAGGGGGGGTTTCTTCTGAATCTTAGGAAAAAAACATAGAGGAAAGAGGAGAATCATGTGAGAGAAGAGGTTCCTGGGGAGAACAACTCCCACAGCTTCTTTCTCTGTGCGCTGTCAGCCTTGTGATCAACCTAGATAACGTATCTGTATTAAAATTTTGCCAAAGCAGAAAAATTGAATAAGGCTGAACATAGGAATCGGGTTTCAGGAAGGATGCCAGAGGGGCATCCTGGGATGTGAAGTCCAAATGTACTCCAGCAGATGTGGGCTCTGGAGTACCTCTTGGTGATTGGTCAAGGGAGTCACGTGTTGCTCAGAGGTGCATTTGTTGTCTCATTTGAATAAAGGGATTTGGTTGCTGAACCCCCAACCAGCTGGGTCCGTGTGGGTTTATTTATTTATTATATTAATATGCCATAGCTGAAGGTAGAAAGGGAGAAGAAATTAACTTAGTCAAGGGGGAGTGTACAGACTACACAAGATTTTACATTTTTTGCAGAAAATTTAGAGTTTCAAAGACAAAACACTGCTCACAGGGACACTAGGACAGTTTGTGACATCATCTGAGGAACTTAGGACCCATAAACTAGTGAACAGTCTGCCCTTATTCATATGCAGCTTTAGATTTCCAGGTACCTGGGAATATTTCCAGTGATAGTTCCTCTTAAATATCTGCAAAACAAGTGTTATTCAATACAATTCACTAATAGCTATTAGAATTTAAATTATTTTTAACTCTTTCAATTAAATGCCAAGAAATTTCAATCAAATGTCAAAAGTACTACACTGAAATTGCTTGCAGAAAACAATGCAAGTTTTTCTTCAAAGCAGTATATCTTTTAGTTAAGGGGAGAGAATCTCACACATTGATAGAGCAGAAGAATTCGAGCTTTGTAACACAACCTTTACTTCCCTGAGCATTAATAATACTTGACAAAAATCCTATGAGCCCGAATCAAGTTCTGGGTCATGTGTATTAAATCATACAAAATTCTGCTAACTTACACCAGGGTAAAAATCTGTGAAACATACAGAAGAAGCAAACATGACAGGCCTGCAAAGGGCTGCAACATAAAGAAATTGAGTAGAAATTTGATCTCTTGAGAGACTTTGATATGCAGTGTTATTTCCTAAGTAATCTTAAGAAAATTTTGATGAAAATCATAAACCAAATCTGCCACGCCATTCATCTGGCTAGTAACTTTCATCCCTGAAACAAAACAAATAAAAAATTTCTGTGAATAAAAAACAATTGAAAATATTCACAGATATTTTTATTCTTTCAAAATAATATATTGTGAGCAAAGTTAAGATGAACATTTTAACTTCTTCTGGACAATAAACTCACCAAATTTATGGACAACTTGACCACAATGTTCTCTTAAAGTGCAAGTAAAAGCAAATTGGAGATGGATATATTTACTTCTCCATCTCACATGCTATACGAAAGGATTTTAGCAAACACTACTTATTCCAAAACAATATGCTACTTTTAAAGTCAGTTCTTGTCTACATTATATCTAACATGCAAATGGAGGGAAAGGAATACTTTCCTGGATTGGACAGATCAAATCATCAGTTCAGGAGTGGAACATCAATAATGTGCAAAGTCTGATATTAACAGCATATTTGTTACATGGGTAGAGATACAGAATTTTAATTTCCTCCAGAGGGGCAACAGAACTAACCTTCTTTGTAAATTTCAGCTTTCTAATACTGGTACAATTTTTTTCTTTCTCTTTAAAACTGTTTTTCCTAATAAAAATTAAAATTGCATCCTGCCAATCTGCCCCATGCTTATTCTGGTGTAAATCAAATATTATTGCCTCCAAGTGTAGGTGTATCACACTAGAAGTGATGAAAGGAACACTGGAACAGTCCTAAAAATATTTTTTCTCTCTCAAGATGAAAATGATATTTGTGGAAAAAACAATAAATTCACATCAGTGGATAAACATTTAAATAAAAATAAACTATTTCTAGGTATTTCTAAATAAATCTGATAAAATGCTTCTATTTAAAGTTGTCTTATCTTTGAAATAATTTTGCAAGGAAAAGTGAATTTATTCCAGTTTCAGCTGTAAGTTTCTCACGGGAATGGGAACTGATACAAAAAAAATTTAGACAGCTTATTGTTGTTGCTCTCCAGTCTTTGACTTATGCAACTAGAGCTCTTTCTCTGAACTCATCCCTCAGTGCTTGTGGTTAATAAGCTTTCAATGAAGAGAAAGTTAAGGCTTCCTTTTCAATTCTGCGTGTCTTTTTAATGTGCATTATCTCAACTAACTGAGAAATGTCTCAAAATATATTTTGGAGAGAAAAACAAAGCAAAACCAGTTATTACTGAAATTATTTCCTCCCTCTACCCAGCAAAAAGAAAAGTCTCAGACTCAGTGAAAGACTAAAGAAAAATGCACATGGATCAATTATGAAAAAAAGAAAGTTTCCTTGAACGAGAAAAAGCTGATTGGAATTAAGATAGGCTTTGTTCATATCTGCAACATACAAGGAGACTACTTTTCAGTGGAACAGAAAAGGGGGATTTGGGAGTGTTTGGCTGCTTAACTCTACAGTGCTTCAGAGCCCATGTGAAAATTTGCTGCTAGCTATTAATCATCATTGTGTCTCTGCAAAGAAGCTGTTACAATGATGACTATATATCATTATATTCCCACTGTAAGTAATGAATCAGAGAGCTGGGAAAGTTGGATAAGAGCGGCTGGCAAACTTTTAAGCTGTGGAATCTATTTAAATAAATTTACATCACATTTGGTACTTTTGCTAGTATGGTAATCATACTTTAAAATGAAACAATATGCTGTGTTCATGGGCCCTGGTCTTTTATTCTCCTGTCTCTGAGCTTACTTTCCAGGTCAGCTTTTGCCTGTGCTGACAGCATGCTTTTCTCATAGCCTCTCCTTCTCATAGCCTTTGGTTGCTTTCAAGTTCAATTTAGCACAATGAAGTTGTTATGCATGACAGTTTGGAGAGCAGAATAGGTGGTGTCTGAGCCTGCTGTGTTGCTACAAAGTGGGCTCATTCTCCACAAGCCAGCTCAGTTACTGAAGCCTTGCTGGTGGGACACTGCTGTGGACTTCCAGACATTCCCATCCTGACGAAAACAATTAGCTTCAAACTGCAAGAAGCTGCCGGGTTGCCCTTTTTCTCAGAGAGACCTCACAATTTAATATGCTGCAGTGGATTTCAAATTCGTGTTGATTTATCCTGTTGTGTTCTTCTTTTATGGTCTTTATTTACAGATGTGTAAAGGAACTGGGAAAGTTTGAGTCTCACATGGTTCAAGAGTTTTACTAGAAATCTAAACCATTGTTATATGTTTATTCTACGAAGTAGTAGAGTTGAAACATGTCAGGCTTAATTCTGTTAGGCTTAACTGCCTAAAAGAGAGCCTGAGGTTCCTCATACAGAACCTGAAAGTGTCTCTTCTGCTAACCATCAGCAACAAGCCAACAATAAACAACCCCAAAACCTTCAAGATGCCAGCACAGTTGTCTGCTACAGGAATACTGAAAAGAACTAAAACCCATTTACAAATGGCAATTTTTGCAACTGTTAAAAATAAGTTCATTTTGAGCCTGTGTTGAGGTACTGCAAGCTGCCTGTTCTTACCAGGCTGAGCTGGTTGTGTTCATTGCTAAGAACATCATAGGCCACTTAATTTAATTGTTACTTCTAGAGGATAAATATTACTTTATTTTTACATCAACTTAGCTATTAGCACAAGCTTTCTTATTTTCCCTTATTAGGTACTTCTAAAAATGTTAAGACAAAGCAAGTCAGTTGCACACTACTTGACTATACACTGTTAAGATACGCTCTTGGATTCTTAGGTTTCACAATAAATAAGAATCTATTGTCTTGATTATATATTTTGCTAATTACTAGGTAAATTCATCAACTAATTCTCATTCTAGATTAAAAGTTACACCAGAGAGTATTTAGAATAGCAAGTTGCTCCTTCATCTCTTCTCTCCCCTGAAGGGGGAAGAGACCCCCTTCGTCTCTTCCCTCCCTCTTCCTTCACCTCCCAGTTTCTTTCTTTTTTTTCTTTTTTAATCTGCAAGAACAAAACATTATCAAAATTTCTCCTTTGTAAACTGCTTGGTTTGGCTCTGTGTTTTTGAAAGGTAAAATTAAATTATTCCAGCAAGCCTTTTATGTCTTAAAATTATTTCCATTTATCTAAAGAATCAGATAATGTAATTAAAATGTCTCCTTTTGAACAAAAAATACATTTATTATAGCTGCAAAATATGTTATAACCTGGACTAATTGCAGTTTGAGTTTCAGAAGGTTGATTTTTACTACTGTTAATTAATTAACCTTCCTCCAAGAATGCATAAGTATGATTTGGTGTACTTAACAGGCTATAACAAAAATTAAAATAATCAGTACTACATTTAAGGTGAGATGTAGACTTTTTGGTCAAAAAATGGAGAGGAAATTAGAATACTTGACTTCTGATATGACTTCTACCAGTGTGTCAGACCACCAGAACTGTACTTAACTATTGGATACAGAAATTTTCCCTGTCATTCATTCACAGAAGGCAACATTATTTTTGTAATATTGCCACAGTTAAACACTTCCTTTATTCATGAGTGACCTCATGTGAAGAATTTGTGATACATTATGATGTTTACTCCTTATTTAAGATGTACAGGAGTGCAAATGAGTTGCATTGTGAGGAGGCAAGTCAATCTGTTCAAACAAATGATGCATCAACCAGCCTTTAAATCCAGCCTCTTCACAAGAAGAACCTTTGCTTGATGTATTTTATCCAAGAAATATGTCTTTGTTGTACTTCTTCAACCACCAGTGGTGTAGGTCTCGCTGATTTTATCAGTAGAAGATTTAGGTCTACAAAATGGAAAAAAGCCATTGAAATACAAGGTTTTTCAGGACAAAATGGCATACAAAAAGAATAGAAAATAGGAAGAAACAGAAGAGTAACATAGCCTTGAAACCAGTTTAATCCCAATACACAACCACTATAAATCCTAAATGTCCAAAACAAAAATGTATATGGTCACATCGATCAAGTCAGCCAAGAAATGGAGAGCCTAATTTTAGGCCCATAAAAATAAAATTCTGAAATTCTCCAAGTCAGTTTTATAATAACTTTGTTGTGGCTATCATTCTTTCAGTACAACAGACAAAGTTTACAGGAAGAGTTCATATCTCTTATGAGGCCGGAATGTCAAGAAACGTTCACAAACTTGAAAACTTCTCTTTTTTTAATCATCTTAATTGAGTCAATAAAAGATTTTACTTCTCCCATTAATCTGTTCAGGGGTTTCAGAAAATTTTACTCTTAACTAAACTGATTTTATAAAAATTGATTATTGCAACTCCTGATGATGCCAATAGGGTTTGCTGGTTTCACAACACAACCAAACCAGCAAAATCAGACTCAGAAGTCTACTTGTAGGGTTTTGTTTTTTTAGTAGCATGGCCTTGTAATTAATTCAGAAATACAAATGCTGACACTAGAACAACATCTACACCTACTCTAGTTAACTAAGGTTGCAATGTCTTTAGTATATTTGTGTTTGTACACACATGCATACAAAGGGGTGGAAAATTTGTTATGCAAACAACCTCACAGTACTACACTGAAATGCTCTTTGCTGGTGTGCTGCTATTTCATAGTCATTTAGCATTATTTTCTTTTGTCTTAATTTCCCAGTAAACACAGCACAAAGAGTAGTGGGACCAGATGTATCTGGGTCCACTCCCTTTGCTCTCTGCAGAGTTTCTTGGACCACAGTCACAGTCCTGCCGAAACCTTCTCTTGCAAGCAAAGCCAGATGCACAACGCAGCTGGTGTTTCCATCTTCTTGGGACTCAGAGGGATGTTCCTTGTGATGAAATTGCTATTTTTTTCCTGTTGGCTATTTCAGAGTGAATTGGGGAGTGGATGAAGGATGAAACATCACTTCGGCAATGTATTAGTAACCTACAAGAATATGCTATTTTTTAATGATCCATGTTGTACTGCAACCCATAAAACTGGAAACTAACCAGAAAACACACATCAGATAAAACTCAAATGTCTGACAAGGCTGAGTTGAAGAAGGTGACTAACTAATTCTGAAGGGATGAGAACTCAGTCAGCGCCTAAATTCAAACATTGACTTTCTTCCAAGCTACAGGACATCATTGGTTTCACCTGTACACCAAGATGCACTGGTTTAAAAAGAAGAGAAAGAAGTGGAGAAAAGCTTCAGTTAAATCTTTTCAGCTGCACTGGTGTAGTGTAATGTGAAGTCAAGTGCTTATGCACTTGTAAGTAAGTGGTAATGAACTTGGGAGCCTTTGGATGCATGTTCATGATTGATTACAATAACTGCTTCACTGCCTTGGACATACAGGGGAAGGATCATGCAAACTCAGTGGGATTAAATAAACTCAATTTTATTTATAAGCATTGCAGGGGAGCCATCTACTACCAGATGCTGTACCTCTAAGGAACAGCCGTTTTATCTTTCAACTGTAATTTTTTTTGATAAGTTAAAGCTGGATCTCCATCTAAGCCATAACACTTATAAGAGTTAGGCCTCTGGTTACCAGGTCTGTCCTGTGATGGTTGTGAAGGAGACAAAAAGCCTGTCAGACAAAGCCAGATCTTTCTGGCCACCCCTTGAGTCTCTCCCGATCCGCTGCTAAAGCAGTTTACCAGGTGTTCAGTCTGGTGATTTTAAAACCTGCTAATTGACTCAGTGATAATGGAGAGACTGGGATTGTAGCTTTCCACTGGAGACCCAGATTAAATTATTAAAAACTCGGTGAGACCTGGCTGATAAAGTGTAAAGCCCACTGGAGGTAGATGGGACTCTCACAGTAGGGTAGGTCAGTGGTGCCTCTCCTGGAGACAACCACTGACCTCCAGAGCTCCATCATATCATCACTTGATCATCCATTGTTACTCCCATTACAATACATATGTTTTCATGTGTGCTTCACCATTGCCAACAAGGCCTAATACATGTCCTTGTCAGGCTGGTTCAGATAGCCAGTATGTAACTAAAGACTGTTGTCAGCTGGTGCCTATTCATTGGTTTCTGTCGAATTAGTTTGGCAGTCTCAGGCTGGTTCCCAATGGACAGGTGTCCATATCAGAGAACGATGGTAACAATTGACACTAACTGGCACCCCTGTCAACTGCCTCAGCAGCTTGCAGCCTTTAGAGGTGGCCCCTCCCCATCAGACAAGCCATCCTGGTGGTTTGGACTACTGCAACCTCTCCTGCACCAGCCCTGGGACAAAGCAGCTCAAGCTGGCAGGAGAAAAAACATAAGGAGATAGTTTTGTATGGTAAACTCTGCATTTCTGAGTAGAACATCTAGTGACCAATAGCTTCTGATATATAACTTTTGCAGTGGCAAAGTTTACTGCGGTGTTGAGGTCTGGTTGTACACACTTCAAGTCCTTGATCAAGCATCAAGACAAATATCAAAATAAATATATCCAAAGCAAGTTCAAAAAAACCGAACTTTCTTCTGGCTTAATTATTAAAAGAGCAGTAAAATGAGTTTTAAAATTTCCTGTAGCACATAACACCAGGATTCCCAAAAGTCGAAGTATTGAATTAAAGAACTGCTCTTACAGGTAAAGCATATTTTTTTAATAAGATATCATGAGTAATCTCAGTAGGGCTCGTGGAGGAAAGCAGTTAATAAAGAAGCACTTTTGCTGTTCTCTGTATAAACACACTTTGCTACCATGACTCAGATGAGCACCACAACATAAGTTGTCTTCCAAAGTTTAGCAAGCTTCGATAGACTCATTACTGGGTTTTTCTTTGGACAATGAAGCTCAATGGAGCTGATCACTGTCTCTTTCCTTGACCCAAGCTTACATTTTCCCCTTTTTTTCATTGCAGACTCTATTTCTTAGTAATTGGATTTCAAAACAAATAAATATCTGGGAGTTTTTTCCCTTTGTTACATCTTTTATGTACATTTTTATTCTCTGCAGATGGCTATATTTAAATCAGCGTGGTAAATGGTAGGGTTCTTCACATAATCTTTTACTGGACACAAATGACATGGCATTAAAATGTAGAAAACATAACCTCAATTAAGGAATAACGTGCGAAACTTTAAACAAATATAGTTAAATATTTGGACCAAACAAGTGAACTTGCGTTGTTAGGAGAAGAGCTGGGCAAGCCACAATTTCAATGGTTCAGCTAATGAGTAAACCTGAGACTGTATCAACGATCCCAAACAAGTACCTGGGGTGAGTGCAATGGTATCAGTTGACTAGCTCTTTGTGGTGTCGAAAAAGTACTCTTGAACATGTCAAAGAAGGGGAGGCATGCACACAATGAAGCCATGACAGCTGAATGTCAGTAGCGACCTTGAACCTCCCTCCATCCTGGTGACTCCAGCTGCAGCGTGGACATGTGCGGACGGGTGCACGGACTTTCAGCTCCGCCTGTCACTTCCTCTGCTCCAGTTCCCTGCACTGAAATGAGAATTTCACCACAAGGAGAGACTCTGCTAGTAAGTACTGGGAATTGTTTTTTTACTATCCATATTGCTAATGATATGTTCAACATCCTAATCAGACCCTTGTCGGCATTTTCACAGCAGAAAACAAAGCCAAAACAAAACCAGTCACCGCTGATCAAATGTTGCCCATCAGCATCTGCAGATTAAGGATGCTCTGCTGCAAAATGAGGGTTTTTCTTCTTGATTTGAGTGTTGCATTTTGGAGAACATTTGTTTATTGATGTAAACAACACACGATTGGTTCAAACACTGCAAGGAAGGAACAACTGGCATCTGGTATGCAGTATTTTCCAACGGAAAACAACAGAATTCTCCTGAAGATCAGCCTTGTGGATTACAGTCAGTAGCATGCTGTTTTTAAGACACACACACAAGGACACAGTAAAGACCTGCAAATCTCTCTGTGACAAAGTACAATAGCACAGACCAGCAATGGCATCCCTTTGATATAGGCAAACAAAGTGGCCTCCTCTATGGAGAATATTGCTTGGACCGTTCCTATCTTTCTCTCTTTTCCAGGAGACATGTCAGAACAAATGTCCACACTGAGGAAGGTAAAGTCCTTAGATGGCTTCTCATTCCCATCTCATGTAGTTATGCTGATGACATGGCAAGCTATTTTTTAGGCTGGGTTAACGTACAAACAGCAAGGCTTTTCTGTTTGAGTTGTTAGTTTGTTGATAAACTATTATCAGGAAGAAATGTTCATGGCATAGAACAAAGACATTTCCCCTTTCTCAAGCATCTGGCCCACCACATTAAGCCCACTGAGCAATCTCACAGCATGTTTGTAAGTTTCTCATTTAAGATCACTTGAAAACTTAGTCTGTTTTTGGCTGTCAATGCTGTACCAATTTGATCTCATCCTTTACATATGGCAGGCAGCAAAGCCAGATAGTCTTTAGATATAAATAAATACAACCCAAGGCAAAACACAGGTCATGAACAACTTCTGACTGATACCAGGTCTTCCATAAAGCAGGAAATAATGGGGGAATTTTTGTTGACCATACGGGGAATAATCCAATCTCCTTTTTGGCTCTGGATGTGGAGGGGGGGCGGAAATAGAGAAAATATACTACTTAAAAATTTCAGACTTGTTTGAAAAAAAGGCATTTTCAGCATTTGTACATTTTCCCTTTGTTTCCAACCTTAGTTTCTCATTAAATTTTTTATTCTTCCAACGAAGCATCAAAGCAAAAACAAAAGATCTGTGTAGTTAGTTTGTTGGTTTTTTTCCTGGCAACAATTTTTGCATTATAAATGAAAAAACTGACTCTGTTGACAAGGATTGTTGATCTTCATTCTCAGTGACACACTCTGGGAAGATGGAGTAATACTTTTCTAAGGATTTTTATTTTAAAAATACATAGAGTGTTTGCAAAAAGTATTTTAATGTAACATTATAATAAATCTTAAAGATGGCCTATGAGAAATCTGAAGAGGAACTACTTTCAAGAGCTTGTAGCAATAGGACAAGGGAGAATGGCTTCAAACTAAAGAAAGTGGGTTTAGATTGGATACCAGGAAAAAATTCTTTCCTATGAGGGTGATGAGGCATTGGACCAGACTGTCCAGAGAAGTTGTGGTGGATGTCTCATCCCTGAACAGGACTCTGGGCAACCTGGTCTAGTGAGAAGTGTCCCTGCACATGGCAGGGCATTGAAACAAGATGATCTTTAATGACCCCTCCAACTCAAACCATTCTATGATTCTATAATCATATAATATTTTTGAATTGACAGAAATGTTTGTGAGAAGATAAATACATTAAATTCTGATCTTCGTTTCTTGATCAGAAACAACACAAGTTTGCTGCTATTTGTCTGCAAAGTCTACAATAGTACTATTGTTACGAAAAAAGAGAATTTATTAAACAAGGATGTTGTGAACACATAAGTTGAAGTCTATACTTCAAGGACAAGAATTCACAAATATTGCAAAATAAGCAAATTGTGGAAAAATGTCACACTGCAATCAGAACAGATATTTAGGTGTAATGAAATCAAAGTATAATGAGCTATTGCATTTCTAAGTACATGAATCAGATCAGTACGGATCAGTCTGGTGCTTTTCTCCCTTCTATAAACACCAAAACCTACGATGGTAGTGAATATGATCAGAAGAATTCCCCCTAAAAGGCATTAAAGCAGCATGGAAACAAGGAAGGTTTGAACTGGGAAATGACACAAGCCTCCACAGCACACTTTCCTTGAGGTTGTCCAGTGAATTCTGCAAGGAATTGCCAATTCATCAGTATTAGCTTCCATCCTCAGCTTTGGTGCTGCTTTTCAGAGGACCCTGTGTGCTGCTCATCACAATACCTGGAGAAGCTTCACCAATGTGGCTTCTAAGGCACTTGTTCATCTGCAGGACTCTTACCAAAAGCACTTTTTACCTGACACTTGTTTGAAGGATCTCCTGGATCCATAGCCCTGATTCCCTTCCTTTGGCATGGGCTAGTTTGCTCCCTTAGAGAGGAAAATGGAGAGCCTTATGGCATTCTCAAGTTTCTTCTTTCTTTTATGTAAATTTCTTTAGGAACACAATCCTGTAGCTTCATACTTTTACCTGGTAATAATTGCAGGTGCAGTTTTGGCACAAAAGTAAAATCTCCAAATTGTTTTATCATCTAGTGAGAAATATAAGATTTTACTTGGCTTTATCTACCAACAGAAAGTCTGGAAAATATTAATAATAAACCTTGGTTGTGGTTTACTGCATATCATGAACTGCCATACACAATCATCTTGCACCCCTTTAGCAGGTACAGCATGAGCCAAGCACAGGGGATGAATGACATCTCCAAGCTCTCCACAGGCACAGGGATGCAGAGATTAAGGAATAATTTATTACTGGAAGAGGTCGCCTACAGGTTAATATTCTCAGGGGAAAGAGGTGAGCAAAATGAGAAATACTGATTTTCTGAAAGTCTCTCTGACATGAATCATTGCAGACTACTTACTGCTCAGTCGAGCAGTTGAGCCCAAAAAGAAGTGGATACCACTGTAACAGAAATGCACGTTTGCATTCCCCTATGAAATGAGTAACTTGGTGAGCTAGTCAGTGGCTTTTCCTGAACTGATGCTGTAGCAGGATCTTTATTCTTTTCAAGGGGTGCTAATGTTTTTATAAAATGAGGAGACATTATTAGAACACAATAATGAGAACACTTAGGAGTGCAGGTAACTTTCATCATAAAAATAGTCCCACAGAAGTCAACAAAGCTTTGTGTGCTTCACTACTTGCAATCCTGGGCACTTGGTGCTATCTCTTTTTATTTTGAACCATTGAGTGTTATGTGAAATATGTTCACTCTAGAAATATACTACCTAAAGAATTTTTTTTTTTTATTTATATTGACACCTACAATATAGAGTTATGGTGTAAATTTTACGCCAGAGATGAAAACATCTTTTACAAATACATTGACATTTGTCATGAACTAATATCTCTACAAACTTCTTGTTTCTCACATTCACACTTATTGTGTCTGGGCTTAGTCCTGCAAACAATTATTTACCTCACTAACTTTTTCCACAGAAGACTTCCACAGCAGTCTGAGGGCCTATCCTTGCCAAAGCTTGTATGTTTGATCACTTCCATTAGCTTTCTGAGTAATAATTTCCACTTGTTGCGGGTTGACCTTGGCTGGAATCTAGGCATCCAAGAAAATCGCTAAGAGCTGGAAGAAGTCACACAGGCAAGACAGACTCAACATGGGGCTAATACTAAAATTTATTACTAACAGGATAGGAGCTAAAGAGTGAGGGATAAAGCAATTTTAAACACACTTTTCAACCACCCCTCCTCCCCCTGCATCAGTGCAGGAAGAGAAGTTCACCTATAAGGCAACAGGTCTTCCATATCTGCTGCACTTACGGGTCACCCTTCTTCACCCACAGGGCAACAGGTCTTCCATATCTGCTGCACTTGTGAGTCACCCTTCCATGGGCTGCAGAGGACAGTCTGTTCCAGCATTGTCCCTCACCACAGGCTACAGGGGGGTCAAAGCTCCAAGTCCTTCCCCTGTCCCATGGGTCCCTCCCATGGAAAACCGTCCTCGGTGGACCCTTCTAACACAGGCCGTCCCCTCCCCCAGGCCGCAGGTCCTGGGATGCATGGGGTCTCTATACCCTGATGGTTTTTCACAGAATGCAGTCCTTGACAGAGGGTCCGGTCCCAGCGTGGGTTCCCCAGAGGGGCCACAGAGTCCTACCTGGAAAAAATTGCTCCAGCATGGGCTGCCCTCTCCACAGGCCACAGATCTTCCGAAGGACCCCACTCTCTCCTGAACCTCCCACGAGGGTAGCAGTCCTCCTTCATTTTCATGCATCCACTTGTTCCATCATGGACTCAGCTGCAATACGGTGGGGCTGCCCCTGGACCGTCCGGGCTCGGTCAGGATGAGGGGGGGTGAGGAGGGCAGTGCCTGCCGGCGGGGCTGGCCTGACTCAGCTCCAGCGCTGTGCCTGCCTCTGGCCAGCTGCCGCGCCCCGGGCCATGGCTGCTACCCCCACCACAGCCGGGGAGGCAGCGGGGGACCGCCCCAGCCCGACCACAGCACCTGTTGTGCCTGCCCCAGGCTGGGGCTGCGGGGCCCAGCCCCAGGCCTGGCGGCTTCCCTCTGCAACCCTTCTGGCTCCAGTTTCTTCTGTGCAACTTTTTTTCTTAAAGTTGTTATGACAGAGGTGCAACAATTGGCTCTCCCTTGGCCAAACATCAGGAAGTCCCTCCTGTAGCCAACTGTCATTGGCTCCACAAGGGGGGAACTTCTAGCAGCTTCTAACAGAAATCACCCCATGTAGCCCCCACGCTGAGAAAAAAAAACCAGCCACAGAAACCCACGACACCACTTGAGGGACTTTCACATGACACTTAAAACTAAGAATAAACTCCTTCATTAAAATGGGTCACTTAATGTTTCGTTTGGAAGATATTGAGAAAATAAGTAAATAAATAAAATAAGAATTAATTGGCAGAGTGCAAGTAACGAAATTAATTTTTAAATACAGAAAGATTTAGGAATGAAATTTAGTCTAACAGGTCCCTGCAGTGCCTACAGCTAGAGCATTCATTTTTGTTAGCCCACATACAGACACACTCAGCAAATTTGATTTAATACAAATGTATGTGGTCATGTCTGAAAATACACTGGCTTCCATGAAACAGTAAAGAAGAATTTTTCATGCACTAGTAAGGCAGGTTACCTTGAAAAACCTTACATGGCTGCAAAATGTTTCACTCAGATTAAGAACACTTTGTGGGGCAACGTAGGGTATCATACAGAAGCAGCTGAGGGTGAACCTCACATTTCCCCACATGCAGAGCAAGTAAGGTTTTGGGTTAGGAGCAAGTGCCTGGGCATGGTCTATGTGTTGGGCATTCTGGCCACTGCATCCATATTGATAGGAACAAAACAACTCCTTCAAACTAATTCCCATTGCTCTGTGGTTACGTGGGAAAAGCACTCAGAAGAACACAACCCAGCATCTGGGGTGTGCAGCAACCTTTGTTTCACAGCTGTTTTGTACACTCAGAAGTGCTGGGACTTTTCTATGCAAGCTCAGGGATTTTTCACATAACACAACTCATTAGATTTAATAACTGCACATGGTGCAAGTCAACTCAGAATTTGGGCCATGTCATGCTGCTAAAAGACAGATACTGCATGTCTGTACCTTTATAAACCACAAGCATTGAAATAAGAGAGGCTAAAGAGTTGAAAGCAGGAAAAAATATTGTTACTGCTCATAATATTAAACTTTACACTTGCAATAAATTACACTTGCGATAATTACACTTGCAATAAATATTTCAGGTATGTTTCAAAATTAGCATATGGGTGATAATTTTAAATCCACTCTGAAACAGACTTTGTGACAAAGCTGGACTGGGTAATTTGATGGTGGTTAAATTCCTTGGGTGGCACACAGGACTGGTACCTTCCCTCCACCCTCAACAGCTGCAGTGCTTAATACATAAGACTGCTTTTGTAAGGTAGACTGTGATTCAACAGCACCATCTACCAAAAGGAGTGGTGGCCTAAGCTCTTCTGATAAAGAGTTTTCTTTGGCCCTCTGGTACCTAAAAGAGCAGCCACATGCATCCATGACACTTCTCCGGATAGAAAAGTGCCACCCAATGAGGCTTCAAAATCCTAGATAGCTGTAACACCCAGCCAAGTGCTTTATTGTGTCCAGCAGAAGTAAGGCCTGGCTGTGCACAAGTCATCAAGGGGTGGCTGTGAAGTGAATGCCAAGGACCTGATGAGAGCATTGCGGTCTGCAGAGGCAGAACAACTGAGCACGGCTGTGTGAGTAGGGAAAACTGGAAGGTGTGACCACACAAAATGAGAGTCAGAACGGTGAAGGGTGGTGGATGAACAGTAGGGACGTGGGAGAAAATGCAATGAGAGGAAAAGAAAAGGGGAAAGGAGACAAAATGAAGAAACAAAAGGCAGGGAATGACAGAAATACCTCTGAAGATAAAGACTGAAAAAAAACAACACAGCAATGGTGAGCTAAGAGGGAAAAATAAAGTAATGGGAAATAGTAAATTAAATCTATGAAAACCAATAGAAACTTAAAGAGCAGAAAGCTGAATGATACGCACAAAGCTGAAGGGATGGACATGTCTGTGGCACAGCTCATTATTTAGCACTAATATTTTTATAGGAAAGTTGAACAGGAAAGCTGAAGTTGTTGCTAGAAAACAGTAGGTCTAGAGGCACACCACACTGATATTTAGATTTCTGTATCAGTGCCAAATTTGAAGGGGGCTGGAAAGATATTGTGGCCTCCAGTATTTCATGTCTCTCTCTATAAATTTCCAAACCAACTTTGACAGGGTTGACTTTTATTCTTAGCTCATTAAAAGTGATTGTTTTGCCTGAGGAATACACTAAAAAGCAGCTATTTCCAAAATATCACCCCGAGGCAGAAACACTGAATTTCTTCAAGAAACTGCAAAACAACTCTACTTTGGACATCAGTTAATATATTCTTTGCTCTGTAAAACACATCACTGATGTGGCTTGAGTTTGCTACTCTGTCTTGCATTGCCTGAGCTCATTGGAAGTGGGTAAATGCAACTGAGAGTAGTTTTAGATTGTATATTAGGAAGAAATTCTTCACTAAGAGGGTAGTGAGGCACTGGAACAAGCTGCACAGAGAAGTTGTGGATGCCCCATCTCTGGAAGGGTTCAAGGCTTGCTGGACTGGGCTTGGAGCAACCTGGTCTTGTGGAAGGTGTCCATGCCTATGGCAGGTGAGTTGGAACTAGATAAGCCTTAAGGTCCCTTCCAACCCAAACCATTCTGTGATTCTATAATTCTAAGTCCAGCCTGTCCAGTGCCTTTTCCCCGTCTATCTAGTGCTTCACCTACCCTGTGCAGCCAGTTGGACTGGTGAACTCCTCTGGATAATATCAGTATCACTCTGTTCACAGAGTCCACCCACAATATCCTCCCAACCACCATCTGGTGCTCACCAGCTCTATGCTCTTGCTTACATGAGGACTTTAACACAGTGCCCAAGTGCTAACAAACCGAACACTTCTACAGTTGTGCAAGTAAATAATTTTTACTGTTTGTATTTATTTCACTGGGGATGAATCTAATCAATCAGATTGAATTTGACATCATGAGGCAGACCTTCCTCACAAAGAAGTCTCTGGCAGGGCTGAGAACAAAATCTAAGTCCTACACATTTGTTGAATGATTTTCCTTATTCTAAGGAACGATTCTCAACACAGAAAAATATTGCTCAAAAAACCTCAAAAAACCGGAGCAACAAACCTGTTCATTTTCTCTCTCACTCAGCAAAGCGGCTAAACCTGTGTATATCTCAACTTTTAGAAAACACTCCAAGTTCATCCTGCCCATGAGTTCATGTCAGATTAGCTTCAAAGTACTCAATATCTTGCAGAGTTGCTCTGATGATTTTGTTAGTATTTTTATTATTCCTTTCAAAGTCTAATTCTGCAATTTTCACTTGAATTATGTGTCATTGACTAAATAAATAGTTCTGATGAAGGCTATTCACAGGAATACTACAGAATTAAGTAAAAAAATGGCATATTCAAAACTTAATTAAATGATTAATTGTAAACAATACAGCAATATCTTACTAGCTTTTTATTCTGCTTAATTTATTATCTTTCCTAGTAAAGAAGGAGAAATGAAAACACAAACTTTATAAACTCTTGCTGGGTGTGTTTTTCCTTAAGCTTTGTAAGAACAAGTCTGTTGTTTTACATTATACTTGGTATTTTTATATTATACTTCACATATTCTTTTTTTATAGTAACAGTGTAGTAATACATAAAAAACATGAAAATTTACTTAGATAAAAAGTTTGAGGATGCCAAATGTACTTATATTTATATTTAAATATAGTAAGTGTGTATACAGAAATAGACATGTATGTATATATATCTACACATGTATTTTTATATATTTATATTTAAATTTTAATATAATATGAAACAGTATATAATATGTATATTATATATTATCCAATATGTGTACATATATTCTACATGTTGTTCTACATGTACATATTGGATACTGCAAGCATGTATATATAGAGGTATGTATATTTGTGTTTATACATAAATATGCACTTTCTGATTTCTTAAACATTTTGAAACATATCTTTTTGTCTTCAAATAAAATAGCGCTAGAAGGGAGGCATTAACACAACATTTATTTTGAAAATGTTTCAATAATCTCCTCAAAGGACTTTGCATATGTAGTCTAATTTTTCTCAAAAGCTATTTAAAGCGTAATTTGGGCTAGTTATCCCTGGAGTCTGAAGGCTGCAGTACTGCTGACTGGCCAGCAACAGACTTTTTCAAAAAAGTGGCTATCTCTGTATCGATCTGGCACCTACAATCACATATCTAAATGAAATAGATAAAACATAGCACTATATACAGGCATCAGACTGGATATTTAAATACTATATGATACTGATGTATGTTAGGACCTTATGACATACCTGTAGTAGTTAGCATAAGCTAAACAGTGCTTTCAGGTGCTGGTTTTTATTTATATTATAATTGTATATGTAACCACAAACCCTTAAAGGGGCAAATAATCACCTATGAAACAGTGTAGCTGTACTTCGCATAATTCTCACACATACATTTTTACATTAGCTATGCTTCTAAGAACCTATTTAACTCTTCTGTAATTGATAATAAACTTAGATTCTGTTATTCCAAAGTTCACTTATTTGTGTAAAGAAAAATATGCTCTTGTAGTTGCGAACTGCACTAATATTGGCTTTATGCCACTGCACTACTAGAAGCATTACTTAAATTTTTTGCCCTTCCTTGAAAATAACTGGAGGGCTGCTGCTCAGTTTAACAACAACCACCACCACAACAAAATCATACATTTTTGGTACTGAATGAGCAGCCTCACAAAAAATAGCACAAAATCAGAGCAATGGGCTTCTGATTAGTAAACACTTTGCCAAATAATATAATGAGGATTATTACTAAAAGCAGGACTTTTTTGCCTGGGGTCTCTGAATCTGAAGAAGCATTTCACAAAGAAAGACATTTTATTTCATAAAACAACTGACAAAACACTAGACAATTGTGTGTTGAAAACGTAATGCTAAGCCTCATAATAGAAAGGTACTTCTTAATTTTTGGGAAATGAAATTAAACTAATGATGTGTGGTAATGATACTGAACATTACGAAAATGAAATAGGGCTTATATTAACTGAGATCCCAGAGGGTGGAGACCGTGTGAAATAGGTCTTGCTTTGCAATTCAAGTGCATCATAAACACTTTTTCTTCTTGCCACCTAGTCAGAAGTGAGTCAGAATATTGAAACATACTGAAGTTTTGGTTAACATAACATGCAAACAGTATTTTAGTCTGTTGGGGACTTGGTGTTATGTGCCAGCATTCACAAAATGTATGTTTGATATACTTCAGATATTTATGCATTTTGATTCTGTAGTAGAGCATACTTTGAGAGGAACTGAACTTTGCAAACAATTCTCAGTTCATCCTTCCATAAAATTTGGCTGTACAAACCAGAAAATATAAAGGATTTTTGGTTTTGCAAAGTCCCTGTTTAACAATCAGATACTTACTTACGTGAAATGCTGTGTAGGTCCTTCTGCATCGTTGTTTTATAGTAAGAGTCTACCTTCATCAAACATGCACCCAGGGTTTAGGAATAGGGATTTATTATGGATCTCTCTTGTACAGGTTCTGTGCATGCCTTGCAGCTTGGCAAACAGATCATTCAATTAAGATTCCCTTGTCTTCTTTAGAATATTAACATTTAAAACAGACTATGAGCATCCCGCGGTTGACAGACAGCTAAATGCAGCATAAACAAAGTGAAACTTTGCATTGGGCCTGTGAAGAGCACACCCTTCTGCAGATGACTGACTACTTACAATAACAATAATTGTAGTATCATGCCTGTCAAACTTCCTGGCCACTTTCAGGTAAATAGGTACATGTGTCTGTGCAAGAAACACTTGAGAGCTGTTTCCAGTGTTTGGCTTCCTTTCACACATGCCCAACTATGAAAACACAAAATAGAAATATTTTTATGTATACACATAGTTGTCTGTATGTTAATACCTTATAAATATAAACATTTGAATAACCTCCAGCCTCCAAATTATCTAGTAATATAAATTCAACAAAAAGCTGTATGTATATTTTCCCTCAGTTAATTTTTCTGGTAATATACGCTCAAGCACACGAATTCTCACAGGTTTAGGTGTACCTTTACACTTAAGAATGCCTGATAGAGGGTTAAATCCCAAGTCCTTGCTGAGGATATAATTCTACAAGGCATCTTACACAGATTTACATTATTTAATACCAGCCTTTCCAGCAGACAGTGTAGTTTAGAGACTTGCAGACCAGGGCTTTAATTCTTCAAGCTGCAAGCACAAAAATTCTGTTGGCTCCACCACAAATAGGATATGCAAAAGGTTTTTGGGTCAGGATCTTGATTAAGACCGCCTTGCTCTGAACACAGAAGGACAAAGTGGGACTGGAGAACTAGAATCATAGAATGTCCTGCACTGGAAGGACCCACAAGACTGAGTCTAACTCCTTACTACTTTTTGACTCCTGTGCTTATGGTGTGCAGTCTTTGGCCCCAAAAGAAACACTGATGGGATTGATGGAGTGGCTTATGGAAGAGATCATCATTCACGGAGAAGAGCTTGGAACCCAATTTAGGAGTAACTTGGGGCCATTACTTGTTGATGTTGATCATGAAGAGCGGATTGAGCTTAGCAACACACAAAGATGAATACAATTTTCATCCAAAAGCATGCAATCATGTTAGTAGAGTGTGTAAGGGAACATTTTGGATGGGAGTGGTACAATACTGACAATACCAGTGTTTTGAAAGCACAGGCTCATGGATTCTGTGGCTACTGAACAGAGTATTTGCAAATGCAATTTTAGTCAATTGCAATTTCCCAGGTTACCACTGCGTGGTCATGACATGATGTTTAAAAAAAATAACAGGCAACACCATCTCGCCCATGTTGTGCTCTCTCCCTTAAAAAAATTAGAAAAAAAACCAAACCCAAACCAAAGAACCCCCAAACCAAACCAACAAAACAAAAACAAAAAACCAACCAACCAACCAACCAACCAACCAAACAAACAAACACACAAAAAAACCCCAAAACAAAACAAACACCAAAACACCAAAAAAACCCAGAAATGAAACATTCTGTGGCGGGATCTCATTGGGGGCAAATGAATGTGTGTGTGTAAGAGCCCTAGGCTTCCCTTTTGTGTTTGTTTCTTCATTAGGCTCTAACGGCACTTCTGCCCCGGCACTGAAGGTTTGATGAGAAGATGATATGACATGTTTGGCTTCTCCCCATGCAGCTGGCACCACCGATGCCAAAAGCCAGAGCCTGCTGCAGCAGGATCAGGAGAGGCTCCTATGGAGCACGGTCTGACTGTCAGTTTCCCACCCTACTCCCTACACTCAGCTCCCTCTCCAAAGCCCCTTAATGAGAAGTGGAGGACAATGCCAGTATTGTTGTTTCTATTAGGAATCTGGTGGAAAGAACAATAGCTGTTTATCCAAGCATCCATGCTGCCCAAACCCTGCCAATAATTACTTCTAGAGGCTCTGATTAACTCTGCTCTCCACTTTCAGCATAAAAGGTTATTGAGTAAAGGCAGGACAACCTTTCTGTCTCTCCTGGTCTTTTTACAGTTTGCCTGAATATTGCCCGGGCCTCATCTTAGGTGCAGAAGTGAGGATGCACTTGAATCTGCAACAGGCTCACCTGGGTCAGGTGAACAGGTGCTGGAAGCATAACCCTTCTAGCCTCCACAAAAAAAAAGGCAATTTTGAAGAAGCACTCCTCTGGTTTCTCATTCCCAGTTTTCTTTACAACTGCCATTAATAAAAAGGGATACTCCTAAGTAGAATGAGTGTTCCTCAGCAACTTCTCCTTGCTAAATTTTTTTGGCTAAGTATGGTGCACAAAACTGCCAGCATATTGGAAGCATCAAAAGAGTGGTGCAAGACACATTGTTTTGGTTTTGTAAACCAAAGGAAATAGAACTGTTGCTGAGTCTATTTCTAGGTTGCTGGTAACAATTTTAGTCCTCTAAATCATGCATTCTTTAATCACCCCCCTCCCCTCTTAGACCCCATCCTGCAAATTGCTGTTAGTGTTATGCAAAACGCCACCATGAATATGCATAATTATGGAAATTCATGGTAATTTTTCAGAATTATCTAATGTGACATTTATAGGACAGGAGCATACATTAATTTAAATGAGAGTGACAAATATCTTATTCTTTTTATTTCTGTAGTGTTATTAATATTTCCTTGGACTCCTGAGAGCAGTGTGAACTGGTAGGAATTTGAACAAAATATTTTAAAAATCAAATATTTTACTAGCACATTACTTTTTAAAGCTTCGGGTTTTTAATGCATATCTCATATATGTGCATGCACGTAAGACTGCCTTACCTTAATGCAAATTATGTATGTCAAAGGAATAAAAGTCTTTCTGTAGATATTTTTCACATTATTTTTCCATTCCCTACAGATAACAATTGAGACTATAATGTCTCAAGTATTGGGCTGCTTTCTGCAAATGAGTTTGATCTGTCTAATTACTTCAATAATCTAATCAGCCAACTGATAGAGCAATTTAGCAAGCTTTTCTCCTCATTTTTATTTTAACCCCAGTGAAAATAACATTAAATTATCTGCTGTTAACTATGGCAAATTGCAATTATGTACTCTCATAGAGGTTTGGATATGCTGTTTATTAGAGAAATGTAATTAACTGAAATGTAGTCTAAAAACTTACTGTTTGTAACGATTACTAACTGTGAGCATATTTGTACTTGGTATTTTGAGTGGCTAGCACACCAGCTAGACCTTCAAATTCATGACATGGTGTCATTTAAGATCAGTAAAGCTACTTGTAGATGAAAGTGTAATGGACTGTGAGACCTCAAAATATCAGTAGATATTCACCACACGTCTGTATGCAACAAGATTGAGAAGTCCAGGTTTTTACAAAAGAACATTAAAATTGCCCATTACACTGCAAATGTCAGTGTTACTGGATATTGTTGTAAAGTTAATTAATTTGCAGAATAAAATCTTTGTTATTTACACTACCACATACCTCAAAATATTCACCAACTAAACCACTAAAAAACTAAAAGTTCATTATTCTATGAATCCTTCAGTCTTAATAGAAATTGTTCTATGCTGATATGCCTAAAGAGAAAAAATGTTGCAGACCACATAAAAGAGGAAAATATAGTGCTCTAATTTTAATGGTATATGTTCTTGGTAGAACTTAATCTTCTTAAATTTTAAGAATAACATTCATTTTCTCTTCTAAATACATAAATACAGTAATGTGTCTGTACTTACGAAAATAGATGTATTCTTTGTTTGATTCATCAATTTTTTCTAAGCTATTTTGTACGGTATTTTTAACGGAAATAAACACAGTTCTGTTCTTGTGTAACAAGGTAGTGGAAGATGAGCTCACTAGAAGTCCTGCCTTTCATTACTGTGCAAGATCTTTACACCATCTCCCATGGCATTCTTCTGAAAAAGCTGGCAGCCCATGGCTTGGACAGGGGCACTCTCTGCTGGGTTAAGAACTGGCTGATGGCCGGGCCCAGAGAGTGGTGGTGAATGGGGCTGCATCCAGTTGGTGGCCGGTCACTAGTGGTGTTGCCCAGGGATCAGTGTTGGGCCCAATCCTGTTTAATATCTTTATTGATGATCTGGATGAGTGGATTGAGTCCACCATCAGCAAATTTGCAGATGACACCAAGTTGGGGGAGAGCATTGATCTGCTGGAAGGCAGGAGATCTCTCCAGAGGGACCTGGACAGACTGGAGAGTTGGTCTGATTCCAACGGGATGAGGTTCAACAAGGCCAAGTGCCAGGTCCTGCACTTTGGCCACAACAACCCCATGCAGAGCTACAGGCTGGGCACAGAGTGGCTGGAGAGCAGCCAGGCAGAAAAGGGACCCGGGAGTTTGGATTGACAAGAATCTGAACATGAGCCAGCAGTGTGCCCAGGTGGCCAAGAAGGCCAAGGGCATCCTGGCCTGGATCAGGAACAGTGTGGCCAACAGGACCAGGGAAGTGATTCTTCCCCTGTACTCAGCGCTGGTGAGGCCACACCTGGAGTGCTGTGTCCAGTTCTGGGCCCCTCAGTTCAGGAAGGATATTGAGGTGCTGGAGTAGGTCCAGAGAAGAGCAACGAGGCTAGTGAAGACACTCAAGCACAAGTCCTATGAGGAGAGGCTGAGGGAGCTGGGGTTGTTTATCCTGGAGAAGAGGAGGCTCAGGGGAGACCTCATCACTCTCTACAACTCCCTGAAAGGAGGGTGTAGCCAGGTGGGGGTTGGTCTCTTCTCCCAGGCAACTATCAGTAAGACAAGAGGGCACGNAACAGGACCAGGGAAGTGATTCTTCCCCTGTACTCAGTGCTGGTGAGGCCACACCTGGAGTACTGTGTCCAGTTCTGGGCCCCTCAGTTCAGGAAGGATATTGAGGTGCTGGAGCAGGTCCAGAGAAGAGCAACTAGGCTGGTGAAGGGACTCAAGCACGAGTCCTATGAGGGGAGGCTGAGGGAGCTGGGGTTGTTTATCCTGGAGAAGAGGAGGCTCAGGGGAGACCTCATCACTCTCTACAACTCCCTGAAAGGAGAGTTGTAGCCAGATGGGCATCAGTCTCTTCTCCCAGACAACTGTCAGTAGGACAAGAGGGCATGGTCCTAACCTGTGCCAAGGGAGATTTAGGTTGGATATTAGGAAGAAACTTTTTATGGAGAGAGTAATCAGACATTGGAATGGGCTGCCAAGGGAGATGGTGGATTCACCATCCCTGGAGGTTTTTAAGATGAGACTGGATGTGGCACTTGGTGCCATGGTCTAAGTAACCATAGCAGTGTTGGTTCAAGACTTGATGATCTCAGAGGTCTTTTCCAACCCGGTGGATTCTATGATTCTATGATTTTATGATCTTAGATTTAACTGGGGAAATTAGCCAGAAGGCAATGAAACAATGTGGGAAACTTTCACTTTGCATTATGCAGGAGTGCCACATCAGGCAGTTTATGTATTTGTAGCTGTATATACATACACTATAAATCTGACTGTGACACACTGCAAATATAACTTAGTTGTGTTACCGTGTATGAAAGGAGGGCAAAATGCTTCACCAGCATACCTAGGCTCACAGATGTGCACGTCTGCACATGAGTCTGGGTGCACGTGCCTCCCGTTTGCACAAAACAGTATGGTCCCCAAGCATTACATGTTCAAAAAGGCTAAAACTGATAATCTGCCAGAGCATCCGTGATGATCAAATGAATGTCTTAAACATGTTTTTCAGAAAGCGTGGATATGCATTGACATAAGCATAGGAATTTTCTCTGCTTGAGTACATAATGTGCTTTTGTCAGCCACAGAAAGAGTGACAAAGGTTTACTCCCACCTGCTCCCTGTTTGTAAAGGGTCTAGGCATGGAGACCTCCACACAGCCACTAGAAATGGTCCCCCAAAGACACTCAGTGCCTTAAAAACATGGGGCCAAAACAGACATCAGGGCATGGCTTCTGGATGATCTATATGATCACGAATTCATTGAATAAAACATAGTAGAAAAACACTAAGGCTGTACCCCTATATTCTCTCCGTGAATATGTTTGTGTTAGCATACTCTAACACTTGTAGGATCAGCTTGGAGACTGAGCTGGTGTTTATCCTCTGTTCTCACTATTCAGAAGAAGCTAAGTTTCAGGAACTGTTTAGCAAAGACTAGAGATTTGGTGGCCACTTTTAAGTGGATATGCCTGCTAAAGCCCTCATCCTGAAAGCCACTAAGAAGTTCACTAAAAGTGTTGACATCCTGCATCAGAGTTACTTGGAGAGCCATCTGGAGAGCAGCATCTGGTAAAAATTGCAATGTCTTCCTTTAAATTAGCAACAAGTCAAAGCATTGTACTAACTCTCATTGAAAATGAAAGTCTAGTTTATTTAAAATTTTATTAAAATATTGTATTATGGGGTTTTGTCACGACTAGCTATTAGAACTGCAGTGCTAAGCAACACTAAAATATTTTATGAAGCTATTAGGTGATAAAAAATGAGCTAGTTCTATGTTAAAAATTTACTACGTGCACACTTACATGTAAGAGTTTTTTGCATTTTTCATGCTGCATGGAAAACACTAATTGATGCATAGACCAGGTAGAAAATCACATCTCCCTACATAAAGATAGAAAGGTGTAAAATCTTTCTTACATAGCTTTTCAAGGGTTGTTTCAATTTGCCTTTATACCCATGATTTATAATTTTATTTATGGCAAATAAACTTCTGGAATTAAATGGAGACATTTTCCAAATGACATGCAGTAGATGTGATAGATATTTTCTTTTGAATTGCTAAAGAGTAAAATACGATAATTTGGTGACAAGCATCTGTCTGGTAATCACATAGGATAAATTTGTAAGAAATATAGCAAAGATATTTTATTTGCTGCTGCTGCTGCTGTTAAGCCAGCTTTATTTATCTTGGAAGGTTTTTCCATCTGAGTGGAAAACAAACTTGCCTTCAAGAGGTCTGTGAACCAAATAATAAATGTCAGGTCTAAATCCCATATGGAAATCAGTCAGGTTTAACCCTGGATATTCTTCAGGATGCAAATGAGGATGGGAGGTTTCCCTCATCCTGCTGCCACATGGGCAAGCCAATTTACAGGCACAGGCATACACTGTACCTTCTGCACCTCCCCCTCACCCCAAGACTTGGTCTCAGCTGCCTGCCTTTCACAGAAAACCACAGACCAAGGAAACATATCAGTAATAGTGCCCTGTAAATTAACTTGACATTTGATGCAAGGGGGGGGGGGGGGAAATCAAGTGGTAAAAGCTTACAAAAGACATGGAAAACA